CACTAAAGTGAAATCTCTACACCGAGTGATCGTGATATTCTTGGTATTATAAGATGCAAAAACATACCTAGGCTTACATTTAAAATTTATTTTTTTAACCTCAGTGATAGCGAGTGACTAAAGTTGCCTTACTTGTGATTCGTCTGTTTTTTGCTCCAAGGTAAAGTCTGGATTGCGCCGCGGCACCGGTTGAATTTCGTAAATGTTGATTTCACTGTTTTCAGAATTCTTTGAACCCCCAAATCCACCAGATCCAAGTTGGAATAAGTTAATTTGTTGCTTGGCTAGTTTGTTTCCGGTGTGTTCGTCGTAGGTCACTACTGCAAAGCTTTTCCATCAAACTAGCAATAGATGAAAACGTGGAAATAGACAAAAATATCCTCAGCGGTGTCTAAAGCCAAAAACGTCCTTCTGAATGTTTTTTTTTTTTTAACAAAACAACAGCGATGAAAAGCCATCTAAAAGGTAATACATAACTGAACTAGGCATCACTAAGCCAGAACCCAGGCTAGAACGCACCAAACTTGCCGGTGCGATCATGTGTTTTTGCATCAGACTTGAAGTAATTAGGTTAATTGCATGAATGTTTGTTGTTTCACACCTACCTTGTACAATCAATACCGTAAATCACCATAAATCTTGCATGAACGAAAATAGCTTCTGTCTAGCAGTCATTTTTATGTGTTTTTGCCTATATGCAAGTTGCAGAAACGCATACTGCGACGACTCTGTCTATGTGTGTATGTTTGTGCGTGCCTGTGCCAAAACCTTGCTACTGGGTCCCCCGGCCCATTGCCACCCAAGCGTAGCAGCCTCAGGCAAGTCTGGGCCCCGCGTAAGAGAGAGTAAAGGTTTTACCGGGAAAATTGCTAACTCTGGGACGAGAAAAGCTAGAAGGATGAAACTTTGAGGTTATGTTCCCCTTCCACATTTAACTCAAAGGTTTCAAATTCAGTCCCCAGATGTGCGCGGTTCCCGCGTACGGCCCCTTGAGGATTCTTGGTGCGAAAATCACTAACTCGGGGACCAGGAAAGCCAGGAGGATGAAATTTTAAGAAAATGTTCCCCGTCCATGTGCAACCTAAATTTACCAAATTCAGCCCCAGTTATGCGTGGTTCGCACATACGGGCCGCGGGTTTTTTTGGCAGGAAAATGGCTAATTCAAAATTCAACTACCAGGTATATACGGTTCTCACGTTCAGCTCCGTGAAAATTTTTAGCAGGAGGAATTGCTAACTCGGGAAGGAAGAAAGCTGGGAGACTGATATTTTAAGGGGATGTCCCCAGCCCATGTACAACTTAAAATTATCAAACTCAGCCTCTGGACATGCGTGATTCTCATGTACGGCCCCGTGGAAATTTTTAGGGAAGGCGGGGACGGCTAACTCGAGAATCAGGAAAGCTGGGAGGCTGAAATTTTAGGAGGATATTCCCCATCTAAATACAAATTAAAGGTTTCAAATTCAGCCTCCAGGCACGCATGGTTCTCGTGTACAGGCACTTAAATTTTTGGCAGGAAAATTACCCATTGAACAGCTGGGTTATCTTTAAACAACGGCTGCTAAAGGGAAATTGTTTATTTCCGTTTATGCAAAAATTACGATGATTTACGGAACTGAACGCACAAGGCAGGTGTAAAGTAGCAATCCTTCATGCAGCTAACATAATTACTTCAAGTTTGATGCAAATCTAGTCGAAAAAGTACCGGCGGTTGGCACGAGAAAGCGTTTTTCGCACATCTCTCCCGCAGGTTTTTTTTGCCAGTGGCACTTTCTTCCCGGCAGATGCTTCTAGCTAAAAGAATTGTGACTGGCCACCACGACTGTTAGAAATTATTACAATGACTCCAAATTCATGCCCAAAAAAAAAAAATTCAGCGCTCTAGATGCTTCGGTTGCCGAGTTACGTCAAATTTCACGTGTTCATGCGTGGATGACAATGCGATTGATTTCTTCGCCAGCGGTTGCTCAAACACGGTCCTGAGTAACGTTCAGAAAGTTTCAGCACCTCAGCTGCTCTGGTGTGGATTTACGTCAAATTTCACGTGTGTGAGGCATGAAAGTGATGTATAAGTCGTCTTTGCGCGCATCTGATCAAAGGCCAACGTCGGTTATGCTAAGAAAGTTCAGATCCCCTGGCTGGTTCAATTCTGATGTTGCAAAAGAGCATGCGTGAAATTCTTACGTGTTCGTACGTGAGATGCAGAACAGCTGACAAGTAATTTACTTTCGCGGGCACAACAGTGGGCGACAAGTAAGGCTGCAAAATTGCAACTCTCTGCAACTTACTGGTTGGCTTAAATCTGGACTTAACATGATGTCAGTTTAAATTTTGACGTGTATGTACGTGAGACGTAGGGATGCTGAAGGGTGAATTTGAAATCTCTTGATTAGACGCGGTCAAGGGACATCTCTGTGAAGTTCCAGCCTCCCAGCATGGGCTGTTCCAGAAAACGCTTTCTCGTCAAAAAAACCTTCGCGTGCCCCTAAATGAGAATCATGCGAACCTGTGCTTTCATTTTGAGGATACTAGCCCGCATGCATGTGTAGATTAAGGCATCCAATTTCCAGCCTTGTAGCTTTTGTGAGTCTCGAGATGAAAACTCGTTACAGACGTACACACAGACACACATGCACATAGACACACATACACACAGACATACATACACACAGACACACATACACACAGACACACATACACACAGACACACATACACACAGACACACATACACACATACACACAGACACACATACACACAGACACACATACACACAGACATACATACACACAAACACACACACGTGCACATACATAGACAACCCACCGATAATATGCGTTTTTGCATTGCAGAGCTGCAAAAAACGCATAAAAAGCATTATCACACCGCTCGCCTGGTGCGTTTCAGCCTGTTATGAAAATGATCCAGCTGTTCAACAAACAATTTCCCTGCAAAAAAATTTATATTCCCGTTTACAAGAACTACGTAAACCTGGAGGCTGAATTTGAAACTTTTAAGTTGTATTTGGACGGGGGATGTTCTCCTAAAATTTCGGCTTTCCAGCTTTTCTAGTTCCTGAGTTAGCGTTTTTCCCGCCAAAAATCTCACAAGTCCGTGCGTGATCTGGGAGAATACCTGGGGGCTGAGTTTGAAATCTTTAAATTATACGTGAGCTGCGAACATGGCTTTACAATTTCAGCCATCCAGTTTTCTTGATTCCCGGACTAGCCATTTCCCCCAAAAAATTTCACGAGGCCGTACGTGAAAACCACGCATGCCTGAAAGCTGAATTTGATAAATTTAAATCGTACATGAGCTGGAAATATTCCTTAAAATTTCAGCCTCCTAGCTTTCCTGGTTCCCAAGTTAACGATTTCCCTGCCAGGAACCTTCACGGGGCCGTACGCAAGAACTATGCGTGTCAGGGGGCTGAATTTGAAATCTTCAAGTTTTATGTGGGCCAGGAACATCGCCTGAAAATTTCAGCCTCCAATTTTTCTCATTCCCGAGTCAGCATTTTTCCCGCCGAAATTTTCATGCGCCTGCGCGCACAGCTCAGACGCGCGCAAGAGTTGGTACTGTAGTCTTGGTATGCACTTGGCCGGGAAACCAATTGGCGAAATTTTGGTGCCAGAGCTTGTTTGTTTGTCGAGTTATCATTGATCATTCTCGTGTAGTGTGCCGACCAAGACAGTTTACGAAGGACGAGCACCCCGCTGCAATCCCAAGTAATTGCCAAGGAACCAACGACTTGACTTTAAAGGCCGCAGCACCGGCCAGTCGACTGGAGCGTCCGAACTGTTGAACCCAACATACACACAAACATACATACACACAAATACACACAAAGTACAAACAGACAGGGTCATTGCAATGTGCATTTTTGCAATTTGCGTATATACAGCCCAGGTCAGAGCGCAGCAGGCGAGCCGGTGCGATCATGCGTTTTTGTACCGTACTTGAAGTAATTAGGTTAACTGCATGAACGGTTGTTCATTCACACCCACCTTGTGCATTCAACACTGTAAATCATCGCAAATTTTGCATGAAAAGAAATAAACAATTTCCGTTTAACGGTCGTTTTTATGCGTTTTTGCCGTGCAGCGCTAGAGCGCTGCAACAGGCAGCAAAAACGCACATTGGA